AGTCCAGCAGCATCGGTTCCTCTGGTGCGGGGCTTGGGAGCAGGTCCGGCAGCTCTCCACCAGGGTAGCTGGCACGGGGCATGCTTGGCTCCTCCTCGGGGTAGCGGGCCCGGGGCAGGCTTGGCCAGCCCTCCTCGGCGTACCTGGCGAGAGGTAGGCTCGACCGAGAGGAAATGCAATTTGAGCAACAATGGTGGATCTGATTTGAATAGACAGAGAGTAGGGGGCAGGAGTAAATCCTTTTCCCCACTGAAAAAAAATCATATGACTTCTTTTGAACAACTCTAATACCAATGGAGTGAATAACACTTGACAGGTGGTGACAGAATTAAATGACATTTGGGAAGGAAATAACTTATTAAAGAAGCCATTTGGCAAGTTATGTCTTTCCAAATCACACTTGCTGCACATGCCAACGTTTGTTTATTTAAGTTATAATCCTCCAATCTTGCAAAGGCAAGTAGGCTGTGCTCTGCCCTTGATTAAAAATATTGTTCAGGTTTGTCCTCTATAATAATGTGAACTGAATGTGGGCAGTGCACCATAGAAACCTGGCTCATTAAATGCGAGGTCCCTCCTAGTTTCTGCCTGTGATGCATAATAGTGTAGTTTCTGTTGGGCTGTAATGCTTTGATCTAATTTTAGTGGTTGGGTTTAGTGTGTAGGTGTGCTAGGTGATGCTGGTGGCCTGTGGTATACATGGGTCACAGTAGATGGTTTAGTGGTCCCTTCTGGATTTAAACTTTATCACTCTATGATTGAGGGAAAGATTCTACAATATCTTGGACATAAATAACTTGTAGGGAATCTGGCATACACAGTGTGGTACACTGTGCAGAAGATGATATGTGTATCTAACACTGTAAAAAAAACTGTATGATATACTGTGCTACTGAGAAATAACAGCTCATTACACATCTACCTTGATATAATGCTGTCCTCGGGAGCCAAAAAATCTTACCGCGTTATAGGTGAAACCGCGTTATATCGAACTTGCTTTGATCCACCAGAGTGCGCAGCCCCTCCCCCCACCCCCCCGGAGCACCGCTTTACCACGTTATATCCAAATTTGTGTTATATCGGGTCGTGTTATATCGGGGTAGAGGTGTGTGTAATTAGAGTTTGCGTCGTACATACACACAATGAGCAGAGTTAAGGTTGTGAGTTCATCTGCAATAGTCATACCATGACTTCTGAATGGTGAAGCATAGCATTCTCTTAAAGAAGGACAGTGCAATGTAAACCCCCCTCTCTCAATGCTGACTTCTGGCTTTGATCTTTTCAGGGGGTTCATCTACCCTCCTTAGACTTCAGCCAAAGAGGCAGCACATGCCTGTAAAGACAGACACTGGAGGGCTGGGCTGCTTGTAGTTCTTGATTGGGGCTCTTGATTTCCAGCATCCTACTTGGTCGAGGTGCCTCAGTCTTTAAGGCGGGGTGGAGGTGGGGGCTGGGACTGGGGATTCCAGCCCTTCCCACTTCACTGGGTCCCAATCCAGGGCCCTGTGTAAGTCAACTCCTGAGTAGGGGACCTCCCTAC